ATTAATAAAAAATTATTTTTAATTTTTTTAATTTTTTAATCATATTTTAATCAATTTTGATACAAAAATACCATTTTGCCCTTGAATTTAACAAAAAATTTGACAGAAGTAACAGTGGAACTAGTTGTCCAAACGAAGCTAAAGTTAAAGGACCACGAGAACCATTTTGGAAATTGAGGTACTCATATGCAAATCGGGTCTAAGTTCAGGGACTAATAAAACAATTAATCCTACCTTTGAATGTATTTTGAAATCATAAGGCTTTAATCTCAATGCATTTATTTTTCAAGAACTAGATTTTCGAGCCATATTTGTTTGACACTAGTTTTGGGAAGTTCTTTTGCACCATGACGTCGGGCTTGATCTCGCGCACAGATTGGGAATCACAGATGTAACGAAGAAGTTAAGAGTGTTAGAGTACCAAGGTATTTTTAGTTTTGAAAAATTGCTGAAAAACCTAGAAACATTTTAGCTCTCTCTCTCTCTCTCTCTCTCTCTCTCTCTCTCTCTCTCAATTGCAACATCTACTTTTCAACTTCCTAGCGACATTACATCACCACCCGGCCACTAACTGTCGAAGCAAATCTGCAAGCTCAACTAGAGACCTTGCGCCAAAACATGGCCAAAATGCAAAAGCACAACAACATCCTCTTGACTATGCTGAATAATACTCAGAGGCAACAATCCTATTCTGCCATCTTGAGCAAGGCCTTGAACAAACCATGCAAGTTCAGCAAGAACACTCCCTCCAAAGCGTGCACAACCCTAACCAATGCACTAGGGGCAAGGGCTTGGCAATTGCCGAAACTGCTCTTTTGCGGCAGTTAATCGTGCTCCCTCTCGAAGACCAATTTTACCATGGTCGAGTTTATTCCGAACTTCGGCATATCATGAAGGCTCATCAAGAAAAGCTAATCAAAATTAACATCAAGCTCAATGATTCTCGTATGCACGCTTTTGACCCTAAGGATAAAATTCGTAACACCCATACGGAACATGGCATCGAAGAAAAGAGGGACTCTGAGTATTTCCAACTGATACCTAAGTAGTCATACTGATCAGTAGGAACACATTGGCAGCGAAACAAGCATCACCGCGTGAAACGTTCTGACGATACAACCCACCGACAAGAGGGCACCACCAGGGCCAAGGAGAGCTAGAGAGAGACCCATAACATTCGGTACAGCACAACGGCAAAGGGGCTCAACAACCTTTGCCAAGATCACCTTGCAGTTCGGTAGACGATGAGCTCCCAAGTGCTGATCTCACTGCTAGATGTCACTCTTGGCTTGTGGAAGTCCTAGGATTGATTGTGATCGATCCAAATAAAGGAATAATTAAAAAGGGGTTTTAATTCCAGTTGGTTAGAAAGAGTTCTTATATTTTCCCACTGCCTTGCTAATTAGAACCTAATGGATCGCACACCTTAAATGGTTAACTTTGAGTAATAAAAATGAGAATGAGGAAATCAATTTGATTGATTTGATGTTGATGATTTACTACGTGTAAAAACGTATTTGGGCCTCGGTAATAGTTAACGGGAAGCCCAAATGGTTGGGTATCAAGCCCAAGGGCTTAAGACACCTAAATATTATGATTTAAGTGTCATAAGCCCAATTTTGGAAGCCCAATGGGTTTTGGCCGAAAATGCTTAAGTAAGTATGTATGGGAATTGTTTCCATAAGCTCATTAACACAAAAACACAATCCAACATCAACCAAATGGGTTTGGGAGATCAAAGAGAGAAAAAGAGAGTTTTCAAGAGTGAAACACTTTCATCTTTCAAAGTGGTTTAGATTGAAACCAATCTTGAGAATCTTGCACTAGCATCCAAGTATTCTCAAGATACTTCTTCTCAT